TCATTGCATCAAGCTCCGGTATACTCGCGTCGACCCTTCCGGTCGACTCATACTGGGAGAAAAATATATTTTGTTTGCGTCGACTCATGCCCTATTGCAGTTGATGCATTGCTTTTCCAAAGGCCTTCCTACAACACTCGGGTTTGCTCACGTCGAGTGGATATCCTGCATGGGTCGATCGCTCGCTGCCTTCAACCATTTTTCTGCTATATTTTTGGATCTTGACTATTTGGTGACATATATATATATATATATATATATATATATATATATATATATATATATATATATATATATATATATATATATATATATATATATATATATATATATATATATATATATATATATATATATATATATATATATATATATATATATATATATATATATATATATATATATATATATATATATATATATATATATATATATATATATATATATATATATATATATATATATATATATATATATATATATATATATATATATATATATATTGGGTTTCATCATTTTGGGTAAACAAGAAAAAGTGAAAGATATACACCAATTTCTCATCATCTTCATCCTCTTCTTGTATTCATCAATAACTACACATAGCAATTTTTGTTGATTAAAGTGCAGAGCTGTGGTGATAACGTTCAAATTGAAGATTGATTTGAGATTTGGGTTGAAAATTGAGTGGGTTTTTTCTTGAATAAAACCGTTAGGGTTTTGTCCTCTAAGATTCTATTTGGTGTGGGGGTTTTTGCACAAGTCTTTGCTTCATTGAATTCATTCGAGTGAAAGGGTTGAGAAACGGTGGGTTTGTTCAATCAAGTAGCGGTAATTGGAGGACTATGAAGAAAGATTTAGGGTCAAACGTCTTGAGATTGAAATCATCTGAGTGAAAGATTTGTAGAACGAGGAGTTCATGCAATCAAGTAGCGGCAACCGGAGGTTTGTTCGAAGAGTTTGGTATACTTGGTTTGGTTTCAACCAAGGGAAGAGAAGGAAATAGTTTCATCATCAACAATTGGTTTGTATGTAGTGAAGACTATTACTTCTCTTGTAACACTTTGCAACTTAATATCATATATCTCAATTCTAGATTTTAGAATTGGGGGCAGACGTACCCTACGCGAGGACGACAAGGGGAACTGCCTTAACAAATCGTGTGTTGTTTCTCTTTCCCTATCCTTTTATTTCTGTTTGTCATAGGTTGTGTGATATCGATTGTTCAATTTATTTTACAGTGATTGTAGTAAGTAAAACTTTGTTTACAATAATCATAGCAATCACTTTGATTGTTATTAAGGAAAATTGAACTTGTTGTGTTTTTGCATACCAAGTGTTTGATAAATTGACTAACACACAAATTAGTAATTTTGTCAAGTTTTATTTTAAACAATTCATTGGAAGTAGTATGTATTTATTGATATTGTTTAAGTGATTGATTAGTAAGTAATAGTATTGAGTGATTTCTCATCATAATATCTCCATACGGTTTCGCATATTCGATCTTTTTAAAAATGGATCGTTTAGACAATTTTGATTCGGGAAGCTTTTGCATCATTTCAAAACAAATTTTAAAAGTGTAATTTTTAAATAAAGGATCTATTCAACCCTCACTTCTAGATCCGTCTCATTGTCTAATAATTCATATCTTGAGGTAAGACTTCGGTAGCAAGGTAGTTTACAAAGTCAGCATACCATGGTGTTTCTTTCTGAATTAATGCAAATAGCTTATCGTCGAGGAAAGATTCATCAAGGGGTAACTCTTCTTTACTAAGATCAGATACTCTGGACAAATGGTCAGCAACCACATTTTCTATCTCTTTCTGTCTCTTATTTCAATGTCAAATTCATGTAACAACAAGATCCATCTAATGAGTCTTGGTTTTGCATCATTTTTTCTCAAGAGGTATCTAATAGTTGCATGGTCTGTATAGACAATTATTTTTTAACCTTCTAGCTAGGAAAGGAACTTGTCAACAGCAAAAACCACAACCAAAAGTTCTTTCTTTGTGGTTGCATAGTTAATTTGCGCCTCATCCAGAGTTCTACTAGCATAATAAATGGCATGCATTTTCTTGTCCTTCTTTTATCCTAACATTGCACCTACTGCATAGTCGCAGGCGTCTCACATGATCTCAAAGGGTATACTTCAATCATGAGTTGTATAATAGGTGTGAAAATCAGTGCATTTTTTAATGTTAAGAAGGATTCAAGGAATTCTTCATTAAATTAAATCCATCATCTTTCATTAACAACCCAGTTAGGGGCTTGTAAATTTTAGAGAAGTCTTTGAAAAACCGGCGGTAAAGTCTGCATGTTCTAAGGAACTTCTGACCTCTCTTACAGTGGTGGGAGGTGTCAACTTCTCTATCTTCTATCTTATCCCTATCAACCTTTATTCATCTTTCAACAGCTAAATATCCAAGGATTATTCTTTCCTTCACCATGATGTGGCATTTCTGCGAGTTTAGTACCATGTTAAATTTTACACATCTTTCAAGGACCTTTTTTAAGCTGGCTAAGCATTCATCAAAACTAGACTCAAAGACCGAGAAATCTTCTATAAAGACTTTCATGATGTCCTTTAAAAATTCAGAGAAACTCGATATCATACAACGTTAGAAAGTTCCAGGCGCATTACACAACTCAAATGGCATTCGTCAGTATGCAAATGTACCGTAAGGGCTAGTGAATATAGTTTTCTCTTGGTCACTCGGGTGAATGGGGACCTGAAAAAAACTCGAATAAGCATCAAGGTAGCAAAAATAAGAATGCTTAGCTAGACGCTGCATTTGGTCAATGGACGAAAGTGGAAAATAATCTTTTCTAGTAGCTTTGTTAAGCTTCATATATACACATTCACCACCCCATTGTTGTCCTAGTGGTCACTAACGCTCCTTAGTCATTTTTAATTATTGTTATCCCTCCTTTCTTGAGTACCACTTGAACAAGACTAGCCCACTTACAAATGGAGTAAATTACTCCAGCCTCAAGAAGTTTCAGCACTTCCTTTCTTTATTTTGGAAATAACACATAATAAGTAGAAGATCGCAAGGAATATACACTAATATTATTTCGCAAGACTAACTAAACGGGTCTCGTTGAGTACAACAGATGTGAGGGATACTAATATATTCCTCTCGCATAACTGACTTTCAAATCCTAATTTGGTTGTGACGACTATTTTTTTGTGATTCGAGAGATTTTATCGATATTTTCTCTTTCATTTTGAAATAAATAAAATTCAGTGGCGACTCTGTTATATTTTGAACGTGCGATACGCTTAAATATTTTTTACAACGCGACAATCTATTTAGATTATGCATGCATCACAAATTAAAAAAAGTAAAAAAACGAGAAACTTACCAAATCGTAGAAAAAATTTAAAAATGAAAAATCTCGGTTGAATAGAGTGGAGTAAAAATTTTAGTGATGCCATAGTCTTGAATGCTATGCATTAAATATAGTGAAAAAGCTTTAAAAAATGTGAGAAATAAAATTTACTCACTAACTCTGTCTTGGACTCTGAGTAACTTTATAAAATGAAAAGAAAAAAGATAGCATGTATATAAATTAAACAAATTATGGAAATTGGGTTTTAGTCTGGCTCTAAGATATATGGATAAGTAATTTTTTAGTCTTTACATCTTCTATCTAAAATTTAGAAACGATATATAAAGAACATCAGAACACATAGTATGGAAATAGCAATTCCCAAATTTTGATTCATTAATATATAGTTCTTTCAAGTATAAATCAATATAATTATCTACAAGGTATATATAGTTCTTTTAATTATAAATCCATCTAATTATCTACAAGGTATATAAGTGTTAATGAATTGGATCTTACTCATTCAATTTATAAAATAAAATCAACTAATCACATATTTTCTTTTAATAGAATCTGCGTATTTATTTATTTTAAAATAGATTACCCTTAAAAAATAGTTTATTTTTAAAAAGAAATTTTTGAAAATAATTACAATTTTTTTATTTATAAAAAATCTATATTATTTATAAAAAAAATACTTGTAACTAAGTAGTACTTTCTAAAATTAATTTTAACCAAAAAATCTGATTTTTATTATTATTTAAAAAAATCAAAAATAAATATGATAATTTAGTAGTGATGGTTGAAGACAGACAACCCCTGAGCTGAGTCGTCAACTTCAACTATTTGCATTACAAAAATATAATTTTTCCACATTAAAATTAACATATTCATCTCTAGGGTAGAAAATAATTTTGATTATTAGAAAGACATTGTAATTTAGAATCTGATAAGGTGAAGCAGTGTAATCTACTTTTTTATTATTGAAGGGAAAACAATGCCAATAGTTTACCCTGCATTAGGTACTTGCAAAATAAAGATAAATTTAAATGATTGCACACTATTGTCCACAAGATAATATTTACAAAAAAAAATGAAGGTAATATACACGACACAAATAGAACTTTCAAAGAATGATATTATTTATTTATGCACATCTGACTAAACCAATGGGGGTCATTATATCTACAATGACATCCGTTTAATAAATGAATAAGAATCAAAAAGCACCAACCATACAGACAGTATATACAATTACTCTGATGGAAAAGAATCAACGACTGGTTCAATCAATCAATCTACATCTGCAGCCAATACACATATTCAAAATTGGAAAGTGGATAGTCAGTATGGTCGCTTGTTAGCAGCTATCGAATCATCTAGCTATGACATTCAAAATTAACCAATTAACCAGCCAAAGTTTTGTTCTCATCCGCTTGACTTCAATTGATAAAGGAAACCCAACTTACATGATGCACGGGGTGTGACTGCCCGGCCAACTAATAAAAGCTCCCCCTGATCTCCTGGATCGGTGAAGTAAGGGTATAAATTACTCAACCCTCGTATCATAATCTGCATAAAGAATTATAAAGAAACTGTTTAGAATTGGAATAGTAATGACACTCAGAACAAAGTCAAAGTAAGATGTCTCTAATGGCACCATTGAATCAGTCTTCTTCCCAGGGTTGTGTTGGACAATATTTCTCCATGGACTCCTTTTTGCGTTCAGGATCAAGGCTGTGAAGAGGGTGGAAAAGAAAAGATGTTGGTTACATCCATTTTAAAAGGATTCAAGAATTATTAATAGGAAATGACAAAAAATCATTTCAAATCAATTTTGTAACAGACCTATTTCTAAATCCAAGAAGAGCATAGTGTACAGCACTTGCACAGGCCGAAGCAGGAGCTATGGCAGCTGCAGGAACTGCTCGAACAGCAGAGGCCAAGGCAGGTCCTGCACCTGAACCTCGCTGGAACTTTTTCAAGGGGTTTTGTACCAACACCGAAGCAGATTTACCCAGGCCATCACTGAGACTCTCACAAGCCTGTTAAATCAAGGAAAACAAACTTAATATTGTGATGAATAAAAAAACATGATGCAAACACACTGAACTTCCTTATCGTCGACCCACACTCCTCACAAAAATAAACCTGTAAGGTAAAGGACGCCTACCACTAATAACTATTAATATTATTCAGGCCATGTCACTGTCAAATGCAGGACTTTTAATACCCCCCAAATTTATGATAGACTTTGATATCGTATTAGAATTTTAATTAGACTTAACTTAACCCAACAAAACCTACGTATTAGGTGAGATGTTCACCACTTATAAAACACTATTCAGGTCATATCACCATCCAAGGAGTGACTCTCAACAGTTTCAATAAGTCTAGTGATATTGATACACATTGATTAAATCTGAAACTTGCTGAGAGCAGCTCCAAATTACTCATCTAGTGTTCATTTACTTGAGGCATGTTTCTATTGGCGTTTCATTTAACACGGGAATAAAACGTGTCAACATAAAGTAAAACATTGTTCTCACTGTTGACATTTTACCTGTTGAATTCCTTGTTGGGCATCCTTAGGTTGATTAGATCGAACGCCAATCTTTGATTTATCTTTCACAGGCAAAGCAACTGAAGAAGGTTTGCTTGAAAGACTATATTCTGCTTGGACAAGAAAGTCGTGTGCTCCAGCAGCTAGATGAACTCCAAGTGCTACAGCTTCAAGTGAAATGCTTCTAAGAAATGCAATTGTACCTGCAAAGATTTTATAACATTTAATATGAAAAACTTATCCATTGTATGAAATTAATATCAGAACTTAGGGATCCAGAATACAAATCATACAATCTCCTTATAATATACACATGGTAGTGTCAATGAAATTTAGTTAAGGAAATTTCAAAAGTCCCATGAAAATGAGCATCAAAACTGACTTTGAAGCAGTTGTTGCGACTAGACAGAATACTAATTGACAAGTGAAAAGACTTCTTGCCTGCCACTAGAGGACATAATATCACACACAACGCTATAGCACAGTTTTAGAAAGAAACTAAAAGATATAATAAGCTTTAGGGATATAAAGAGGAAAAAAACTCCCAGTAAATATTTACCGCTTAATAATAAATACCATAAATCCAAGGAACACATTCAATAAAAAGAAATGTGCCCCAAGGGCACATGTTAACAACTAAATAAAGAAATTTTATCTAAGAAATTGTGTACAGAATTTATTACAAACATATAAGTAATGTTTTTCATTATTTTTTTAAAAATAAACTTTCTAATAGTAGGTTTCTTAACATGTGCCCTAAAGGGCACATGTTAGCATTACCCTTTTATTTAAAATAACTCGTGCATTGTAGGATTGAGTTAGGCCCAACCACACTTTCTTAACATGACATCAGAGTCTTGGTTTAAGATTCGGTGGGCCACCTGCTATCAGGTTTCTGCTATTGAGTCACCCACCATTTATTTCCATGCTCCAGATGTCCAATCCTGAGCGTGAAGGGGTGTGTTAAGAGTCTCACATCGAACAATATATGGCCTAAACATGTGCTTATAAATGGGAGTAATCCTCACCCTACAAGCCGGTTTTGTAAGGATGAGTTAGGCCCAATTCAAATTGTAAGATGGTATCAGAGCCCGGTGTAAGATCCGTTGGGCCACTCCGCTATCAGGCCACCCACCATTTAGTTTCACGCTCCAGATGTTCATCCTGGACGAGAGAGGGGGTGTTAAGAGTCTCACATTGGACAATATATGGCCTGAACGTGAACTTATAAGTGAGAGCAATCCTCATCCTACAAGCCGGTTTTATCCTACAAGCCGGTTTTGTAGAATTGTGTTAGGCTTAACCCACACATTCTAAGAGTAACCAATAAATGTTTTGATAAACTTCTATTGCTATTTGCTGCTTTTTTTTCCCTTATAAAACCAAATTATAGAGGTGATCAAACTAGTGATGATTTATCTACCAATAAAACATACCTCTCTGCAAACCTTTGATCACTCTCCGCTCCTTCTTGTAGTTTTCTACTGGTGATGAAATCAGCTTAGCAGCACCAGTCCCAACTGCAATTAATGATCGTACAGTGGGAAGCCCCCGCAGTATTTTATGAATCTACATAATAAAAATCATAAATTAAGAGAGCTAAAAATAATCTTCACATTCACAAGAAATAATATCCCAGTTAGCACACCTGATTCTGAGATATATCTTCCAGCCACTCCCCTAAAGCTGTTTCGCCAACACTGTTCCAACCATAGATGCCAGAAGCATGAACATGTTTCAGGTTAAGCTCAACACCCTGGGATAGTTTACAAACATATATCAGTTCAAGTAAACATGTCCTTAGAAGAAAATATAATTTGTTATGTAAGCTTTCCCTTTAAGAAAAAAATCACAGCAAAAGTTATTTTACAGTAATTACCAGAAATAGAAAAAGTCAAGAATCCTTGTTATATAATTTTCAGAGTACCACAAGTGTATTTCTTTATTTGAATAGACATGCGAATCCAGCATAGTTTAAAAAAAGAATGGCTTATTTAAGCGTGATTCGATGCCAGCAAATAAAAGAAACAGAAGTGTTCTATATTTTTTTTTGTAACTTTAACAACACAAAAGTATCAGGCCACATGCACTTATTAGAATATAGCTAGTATAGGGCTTGTCTAGTGTAAATAGAGATTGGGCCAGGGCCCAATAACCTCTCCCTAACTCCCTAACAGAATTCAGTTATACCTCACCAAGTAATACAACAGACAACTTCGCTAATAAACCAAAAATTGATGCTATACCATTACAAGACTGAGCAAATCAAGGGATTATACAGGTACGTAGAAAAGTAAAATAAAATATAATTTCTTAAATCAACAATTGAAGAGTAAATTGTACCTTCCAAGGGATAAGATTTACAAGTTCTACATATTTCCCACAACTTAATGCTGCTAGATCTACATGATTTGGACTGTAATCCACCCGAACAATAATAGACCGTATATCTAGTTTCTGAAACCAAAATTAATATACACATATATTAATATGATCAGCTAGAAAAAAGTTTATCAAAGAAACATGCCTTAAAACCAAGTTAAGATGTACTCTCGATTGCATGTGTTTCTTGAAATCAATACATACCTGGAAGTAAGGAAGCAATGCCTCTTGCGCGATTGAATGGCATGCATGATCTTTAGTTTTATCAGGAAATGATTTTGAACCCTCCGAATCATGACAATTATTAGGAAACTGGTCATTTAATGGGTTTTTCTTCCCAAAGAAATCAACAAGAAAATTGAGCTGGCATTGATGTAGATGTAATAGCATAGGTAGAAAAGCAACATTTAACCTGTAGAGGAGGAAAAAATAACATAGTTTATGTATAAGGAAATTCCTTGCTGCTCATTTATTCCATATATTTATCTAAGAATTTATAGGAAATTCCATCAAGTTGGCTAAAGTTGCAATGAGAAGCCAGGCTTTTCTAATATCTTATAAATCTATAATCAACATGTAACCAAAAAAAGTTTATTTTCTAAACAAGTGGTTACTGAAACCTAAACCGAAATTAAACAGTTCTACTGAAACCGAACCATAGCTCAACTAAGCAGTTAATCTAGCAACCCAAGGTTCAGGTCTTGGTGATAAACAGTGTTGTAGGCAGTCACTGTGTAGAGCTATACAGAACCAGGTTGTAAAACTCAAAAAATGATGTTGTTATGTTTTAGCTAAAAAGACCTCACTACAAGTCAACAATTACTTATAAAAACAGTTTAGATTTGTATTGTAACAATTTTACCTGTACTCCTCAAGGGGAGTTAGAGGATCTGGTCTAACTGCCTCCAAGTCCAACTTAAATGCTTTTGAATAAGATTCCCTAGGATGGCCCTTTGAGTAATAATATCCTAACACCTTCCATTTCAAAAAAAAAAAAAGAATTATGAAAACAAAGAATTTGAAAGTTAGGAGATGTTCAAGTAAACCAAAATATAATTTAATATAACTAAACTAAATCATCAATAATACCAGTATCCAAGGTGCATTTTGGCTTCTGTCATACAGAAAAAAATCTTGAACTGACAGAGACATCTTAGATATATGTAGTCCGCCAACTGGAAATGTATCATACTGAAATTTCATCCCAGACAATGCAAGTTCCAAGCAAACAGTCGTGTTCCTCCCAGAATGTTGCCCATTTTTCTCTGAATCAACCAAGTCAGAACCGCCATACATTTTCCATCTTATATCAAGATTTTTTAAAATTACACGTCCACAAGTTTCGCTGAGGGGTGGGCAATCTTTAGAATAAAGCAGGCCATGATGTGCGGCCTTCACCTGTCCAGTCTTTCCATTTTCCTCTGAAATGTGATTTTCTAATACTTTTGAAGAGTTGCCTTCATACCATCCACCACTTCCTCTTTCAATCTCTCGATGTGACACATTCCTCAGCTTGATTTTAGAAGGCTCTTTAGAATGCATATCTATAGATAGCTCGGAGAGAGGGCGTAAGTCAGACAAACAATAGCTTTCTATAATCTTTGGAAAGCATCCGTCTTGCAGAAATGAAGTGTGACTACCTTCTGGTCCTAATACAGGCACTGACTCAGGTAACTTTAGTTCAGGAGAGAGAACTTCAGGTTCATCCAAATTCATCTTACCAGCCTCAACTAAGCTGCTTCTATCAAGTGGAATGTAAAATCCTGATTCAAAAGAATATGATTGCCATGCATTATTGTCATTTACTTGAAATGCATCTTCACATATTTCATCCATCAAGCCAGCTATACTAGCTCCATCCTTTGAATATGTTTTTGGAGAGGACTGCTCAGAAGTTGAAGCCGTCGTGTTATGTCTGAGAGGCTTGCTTTCATTATTAAATTCATCGATCTGCTGTGCCTGTTGAACATTATCCCATCTATTCTGCAAATGCACAATGGACTCCTCGACATCCGGGGCAAATAATAGCTGAAGTTGAGCAGCCAAACGAATTAGAGCAGCAGTTGTATCATAGCAAGTTTCCACATTAAGGTGAGATTTAGATAATTTTAGTTCCCAAAGAAGACCACTAGCACAGTTGGTTTTCAAAATTGCCTCCAGAAAAGCCTCCTGAGCAACTTTAACATACCCGGACTTTTGAAGATGTTCTACACTATAAGTGCCAGGGAGAGAATCAAGCTTTGAAATTAAATGAAGCAAAAGCCCAAGGTCTTGCACTCTAATTTGAAAAACACTTTCAACTGAATCTGCCATAGATGAACTTGAAAGAGTCAAGCTGGATGCAGCCAACAGACAAGAAACACATTGTTCCCCCATATCTTCTTTGATGCAAGAAAAGCCAGACACGGAATTAAGGACCTCACTCTGACCAACAAGATTTTTCATAAAGGGCTCATAACTCATAGCAATGTCAATCAAGCTGAGAACAAAACAAGTCGTGTAGGAGATATCTTGTTCCCTCTTTGAAATACTAGTATCATTTGCATCTTTAGTATTAGAAGCAGGCAAACTGAAAAAGGATGATATTACAACAAACCAATCCACACGACCGCCTACAGCAATAACTGTGCAACAGCTGACAGCAATAGATGTAATTTTATGAGAAATCTCTGGGTCAGATAGATATATAATCTCAGAACCAGCACATCTAGAGGATAATGCATTAGAACCTCCCCCGTTACCTCGCTTCACAGAGGAGTTGTTGCAAGTAATCAGAAGAAACTCATGATCAGGAACTCCAGTAACGTACCCATACAACTTGCCTTCGCCATGGGTTAGTCGGAAGAAACTCGCAGCCTTAACACCACCTGTATTAGTGACAGATAGCAACTCGAACCTTTGAACCTTCAGCTTGAATTGATGCCATTCTCCAGGAAGCTCACTCTTGATTGAGCTTCCGATACTCTCAGATGTATCCCTACTAATAAGAATTTCTACAGAATCACATTCTAAAAATACCGATGATTGTGAAACTAGATAATTTTTATCCACATTGGCTTCCTGAGAAGTCCCACATGTCGTTGCATTTAGCATCTGAAGTAAAAGCTCGTATATGCCTTTATATAGAGAATCATTCACATTAATCACAACTTGAGATAGATGGACATGCATGAGAAATGACGAGCTTAGAATCATCTCTTGTTGAGTTTGAGATTTCCAATCTTCCAAATCTTTCACCGTTGAAGCAGACGCATATTCAAACCCTCTTCCGGCAATATCATCTTTTCCCATTGATTGCTCTGAATTAACAAATAATCTAGCTTTCTTAGCAACCCAAGGACCAGTCACTTGACCCTCCTGCCAAACCACATGAAAAACAGAGAAACTGCCCCTTCTACGAGCAATGGAAAGAAAGCAGCTGCCATAAAATTTCTCATTCTTCACATTATTGGAGGTTATTCGACCACTGTTGTTACTTGTTGATGAGATCAAGTATATATCTAGATCACAAAAATTCAACTGAAGAGATTGTGCTGCTGCTACAGAAGGAAATCTTTTCTTTGAACTTGCACTTGAAGTCTGGCTACCATCTGTAGTGCAACCCTTGTTCAAAGGGGATGATGAACTAAAATCTAGAGCAATTAACTTCTCCCAGGAAAATGAAGCTGCGTGATCTCCAGCCTTATCAAAAGGAAAACACAGTAATACTCTTGCACTAGAAATTGATATATCACCATGCAAGCATTCTGTTGTGGTTGTCGCACAGGGACTGAAACTTTGCTTCGCGTGATTTTGAGATGATCCACACTTTTCATCTGAGGCTTCAGAAAAAACCTCTTCTGCTTTATTATGCACTTCAAGTGATTTTCCAATTTCCTTTAGCAGGTTAGTGAGCACATTTATCACAGAAAATATTACCCAGAAAGTAAAAGGCGGCAGGTTCAGTGAAAATGATGTCATCCCAGTCACACAACCATCTGAAGAACTTGATTGCACTGTAAATTTGCAATTGGTGACACCAGAAGTTTTAAACAATGTAACTTTCAGTAAGAAATCCTTATTTCCAAATGGAAAGTCTGTTGCAACCGGCCCAATTAATGAATCTGAATATAGATTGTAAGAGGTAGACAAAGGGAGAGCATCAAGGACCTTAGTTTGTAAGTGTCCAACCAAAGCACTCTGATTTTCAGCATCACTTCCAATGTTCAAAAAATTAGCAACTTCTACACGCTTCACCGTGCCATCAAAATTCATTATTTGAGGACATACCTGTTGACATTACAATGCATTGGATAGAGTTCGTTCAAAATTATATAGCAGAGAATAAAAATAAGTAGACACTGCAGGCTACATAAAGCAAACATTAAACTATGGGTAAGGACTAATGAGAATGCAAAGGGTTCAATTCAAGGAGAAATTATAGAAGAAAAAATGCACCTTCAAGATAACAACAATTTCATTGCACTCTGCACCAAGATAATCAATCTGTGATCCAACTGTGTTACCAATTTTAGGTTTATAAAAACAGCTCTGTTCATCATCACAGAAGGATAAAATAACAGATACTCCAGAAAAAGTAGCCCTGAGATTGGTTTCCATGTGATGCTGTTCTGTTGACCAATACCGTAAAAAAAAAAATAGTTAGCACAAACAAACTATCAAAATAAAACTTTGAGACATTAATAAGGTAATATGGAAAAAACAAGAAGTTCTAAGCTAGACTGAAAATAATGAAAAAACGCAGTGCAAATAAAAATGAAGAAACATGTTTCCAAGACAACAACTGAAAATAATCATAAGAAGTCAAGTACCAGAGGGAATATGCAAAGATCCAGAAGCAAGGCTGGATGCAGCGGTAATAGCACTGAAAACCGAACATGTCCAGTTCCACATTCCACTACTCCCTAAAGCAGATTGAGAATTTCTCATTCCATCAAAACATTCAAAAAACTGGTCCACACTGCATGAATTCCCATAATACCAGAATTATCAACAGCATCTAAATATCTGATCAATGACTAATGACTCAAAATATTGGCAAAACCAATAAAATACTAAAACTATAGACTTGATTTAGCTTTCATGTCAATAATCGTAATCCTGAGGAAGAGATTTTGCAGGGATATTATGAACATGGTTATCAAATTGAGATTCAAATCGTGAATCAGAATACCTATTTTCCGAATCGTGAATTGAATTTTATTATGAATCGTAAGATACATATGAATCGAAAGATACATAGCAAATAAAATTATGACATTTTTTAGTAAAAACAAGTGAGATAACAAAATTATAAGAGATCAATTTTTATACATTTGTCGGAGCAAAAAGTTTCACACTGCAAGCAAATCACAAACAATCATATGTACTGACTTTAGAAGTGGTTATCGACTTATCGTTTTTCATGATGACGCTTATGACTGATTCAGTGTAAAAATCTTGACACTGATAGTGTAGATAAATTAAATCCAAATTATAAACTGATATGTCATACATGAACTTCAAAATAATTCAAGGTTCAAGTCATAACTTAATTGACAAAAAGAAAATTGGCTTGCTATACGTTGACCAAAAAAGTGGTTAACTTGAATCACTGCCTAAACATGGTGAAGACTACACCATGTTTAGGTAGTGATTCATTAGGATTTCATTAGAATGAATCACGAATCATCATAGTGAATTGGAATTTACCATAATGTATCGAGATTCAATATGATATTCATCTCCAAAATAGATAAGCACTAGAAATTCGTGTTGATTAATGATTAGGTTTAGTTTTTGTTAAAAAAAGATATGACTCGCATGTATCGTGAGATACTAACAACCATGATTGTGAAGATCAAGTAAAATTGCACAACATACACAAATTAGTGAAATTAGTTAAATGTAATAACAGAGGAAGTTTAATTGTTAATTAATATAAATGAATTTGAATTACTACCATGTTAAAGTTTTTAGACTTGTTTGCATCACATCAGACTAGTTGAGAATTGAGAATCTAGGGACCTAACAATGCTAGATATACATTTTTTAAACAAAAAAATAAAATCAATTTAAGAGTTTTTTTCCTCTCATAATTTGGGAGGGAAAGGAGGATCCATTTACAGCATATGTTCAAATAAAAAGCAGCAGAAATATTCCACCACTCAAAAGAGAACGCATAAAACTTTGAAGAATGGGTACTCCAAATTTCAAACCGTACCCGGTACTATACCCATACTGATATCCGTTGGGGTATGTGTAGGTAAAAACCGAGTACGAGCCAAAAATATTTTTTAATACAAACTTCGGTACCACGAGTAGGTACTTCTTTAGTACATAACAGTCCGTCCCTTTGATGAATAAATATATTTTCTTATTGAGAACAAAAGATTATAAATTTTGGTTCTACTATCTACTTGTTTTAGTTTCCTTATTACATTGTGCACTCTTTCCTTATTTTCTAATACACAGATAATCTTTCCCTATTTCCTGCCATGCAATATATTTTCTTTCTATCCTAATTTTCCTATGTTTCCTATATTTATTTTCTAATATATATAGATTTGTGATTTAGTAAATTATGAAAGAGATTTCCTTGTGATAAATTATTTATAATTTCTATCTTTTCTACAATCTAACTATACAACAACAACAACATCAACAACCAAGCTTTATCACACTAAGTGGGATCGGCTACGTTGATCAAATGACACGATCATGTTCTATATATATCATGTCTCTATCCAACTCATTAATCTCTAGATCTTCCCAAATAGTTTCTCTATTAGTTTTTCGAGGTCTTCCTCTGCCTCTAGTGATTTGTTTGCCCTCCATGTGATTCATTCTCCCTACTACACAGAATATACGGGTCTTCTCTCTACGTGTCCAAACCACCTGAGTCGAGTTTCCAACATTCTTTCTACAATAGGGGCTAGTCTTACTACACTTCCAACGCAACATTCTCATCCTTTACATGCTTACTTTATTCTTACGTTGGTTCTTTACCAACCATCACTCTACCCCTTACAACATCGTAAGTCTTATCGTTCAGAGATAAATTTTTCCCATGAGCTTAAACAATCTAACCATGTTGATTTAAAATTTATACCAACATACCTATACCTAAATTTTTTTTGTGAAAATTTCATATTTTGTACCTGGTACTATACCCATATACATGCAACATAGCATAAAGGAGGATATTTTAATTGAGATTGTAAAGAGAAGTGAATTGGTCAAACTAAGATTTTCCTAAATGCAAAATTCTCTAGAAGGACTTTTGGGCACAATTTATTACTTCCTTTGTCCTTAATTATAAGATCCTCTTGAGTTTTTTCTTTGTCCTTTTTATAAGACACCTTTCAAATATCAAGGTGCATTAATTATTTTTTACCAACATACCCCTAATTATGTTACATCTTTTTCTATAATTTGTAATAAATATTCTTATACAAACATTAACTGATTCTCTCTCTTAAAAGTCAATTTGTAAAATTACATAAATTGTCAACCAATTTACTACAATAATCAACTTTCTTAATTCCCGTGTTTTTCTCAAGAGGGTCTTATAATTAGGGAAGGAAGTAGTACTAATTTACTATCACATTCTTCTTTAACAGACATTTAAAAGTTAAAACATGGCAAACAAGGACTTACCTCGCCCCAAAATCAGGTTCTTGAAAACCGTCTTTAAGATTCATATGAGTAGAAAATGGCACCCAGTCTGAAATAAGATTAGCAGCAGGAAGCAGAGCTTCAGGGGATTCTGGATCTTCTGGTTGGGGCAAGGAGGCACAATTGGCGTGTAAACTACCATGGCCAGTTATCATTTCACCTGTGACATTGGCAATAGAAACTGAAGTTGAAGAAGGATTCAACAGCGCTGAATTTAAATGTGAAGGTCCTCTTAAGTTGTGATTCTTGCACTTGGCTTCCTTATTCAAATTTTTAAGAGTTCCCCATGACTTCAATAGCCACTCAATTGAGCTAGGCTGAAATTTTAACACTACGGGATCAACACAAACATCTGCATCCACCTTGCAAATGTCCAAGGAACCATTCTTCCAAGGAATACTCAATTTTACATTTCCACCAAATCCACCTTGTTTCCCAGTCATGACCGGACACGTGGATCTAGTTGCTCCCAAACCAGCTTCACCACGTCCTGCTTCTGACACATGCTGACTCGGTAACTCATTCTTTTCATCTATTTTGAGAATCTCAAGCACCGCCCCATCAAACTTCACAAAGTTTGTTAACTTGCTTATTCCAAGGAGATCAACATTAGACTCAGTATCTTCAGATAAACTAGTCCCACATTGTATTTCAGAAACCCGAAGAACTAAAGTACCATGACAATCTATTTCCCTTCCTTCATCATTTTCCAAAAATGGATCAAACGCAACAATCACATTTGTTATTTTCACATGAAAGCTCGTAAGCAACCACTTTATCATATTTGCAATAGTTTTCACACCCTCGTGAACATCCATTGAAATCGACTTCATAGCATCCTCTCCCGTTTCATGATTGGTCTTACTCAAGCTATATTTAATTTCACAATTATCTTTATCAACATCCGACGAACCACAAGCTTCATCTTCAGCTGTGGTGGTTTTATTCGTGCAAGGAGAAACTACGAGTTCAAGCTCATTCACTTCAACCTCGCAACCTTTACCACTCCAAGGCATTTTAACCAAAAGATATCCAATTGACCCTTCTTTTACCATTATAGAAGATGTTTTCCCAAGCTGTTAAAACAATAGCAGAATAAACCAATAAAGTATTACAAAATAACAATATATTGATGAATTTCAACAGATAAAACCTTGAATAACAAAATTGAGGAATAAGAAAAAGAAAGAGAAAACGAGAATTGGATGATTGATTACCTTGGCGTTGATGAAGTCGAGATTGAGAGCGAGATCGGTGAGCTGAATGGTACCTTGAGAAAGTTGAACATCGAGCTGATCAAGGTCGATTTCGCCGAGGATAAACTGTCCTAATTTCTTCTTGAGGAAGAATTTGCAAACCCTCTTTAGAGCCCAGCGGGAGAACATGGCCTCCGCCGATTTTGCAATCTTCCACGGGAACATGGTGATGGAAAAGAGGAATTGCGGGAAAATTAGGGTTTACGTTGAAACGGTGGAAGCGGAAGACGGCGTTGGACGGTTGCGATATTTTGTTGTGGCGGCGTTGGTTGGTTGCGATATTTTGGGGGTGGCGGAGACCGAAAAACAGAAAGCTCCATACGCAAAGCAACCACTAGAAATTGAATTAAATTGATGAAGGAACGAAATAGATATGCATGGTTTTTAAAAATTAAAAAAAATAAATAAATCAACTTGAGTCTTCTAACGTCTTTTAATGCTTTATTGTTATTCTGCCTTTTTCATCTTTTTCCTTTTTTCTCCTTTTTCCTTTTTTCTTATTCGAGTCTTCCGAGTTGTGAATTCTATTTTATCCTTTTCCAATATAGGATTTTGACTTTTTAATGTTATGTATTCACACTCTTTAGTCCAAAATAATCTACTTAATATAAATATATAAAGGTAAATAAATCATGATAACAACCCTAATCAAACCTTAGATTATATGTCAATCTCACAGAAATTTAAATTTATTTCAAATAAAAATAATAATAATAAAATTGATATAATTATAATATCTTAAATAATGTTATAAAATCAACATTATAAATTTATAGTAAATTCAAAAACCAAAAGATAAAAAGATAAATTAATTATTTAAAATATTTATAACGGTTAAATTAAATCTATAGCTCCTAAGTTAATAAAAAAATTACTGTCATTAAGACATTAATTAATTAAAAAATTTATAACTATAAAATTAAAGAAAATAATAAAATATTATTCAACTATATATATATATATATATATATATATATATATATATATATATATATATATATATATATATATATATATATATATATATATATATATATATATATATATATATATATATATATATATATATATATATATATATATATATATATATATATATATATATATATATAAACAAAAGATTTTAATACATGAAAAAAAATTAATTTTTATAATTAACTATTTTTTATCTATTTTTAATTATTGAGTAGAAATTATTTACTACTAATTATTATTTTTCTTTACTTCATGTAAGTTTTGAAATTAAAAGATTAATAAACTATTAATTTCATTAATATTATGTGATAAAATAATTTATAATAAAAATTTTTAATTTTAATAAATATAATATTATATTTAAAATTTAAAAAATATTAAATGTAACTCTTAAATATATTTTTCTATAAAACGGTTAATTTTATCATTAATTTTTTATAATTTATATTAGAATTAATATATTTGTGATAAATTAATATGATTGATATTATTGATCGTTTTAAAAAGAAAAAAAAAATTATAAAAGTCAAGAGTAAGAATATATAGAGTTACGGGTGAAATAATTTAAAATAGGTAAAATATTTTAAAATTAAAATTATTAAAAATAAGAGAATATATAGAGTTAAACTAAAATTAAAGGAGGATTGAATTGATCAAAATTTATATTGATTAAAAAATAACAAATAAAAGGATGAACAATTTTAAAAATTTATTTAAAATTAATTATTTAATTAAATATTTTTAATTATAAATTAGGTAATATATTAGTATAAATATTTTTAAATGTCATGTATGACTAACTAATTTGATATTTATCTTTTTTTATAATTAAATAATAATTTCATTTCTTTGATAAATTTTATTAAATTGAAATATTTAATTATGATTATTACTATTTGATTCATATTGACATTATTTAAGGTAATTTTAATTCATATTTATGGTTGAATTTGATTGATTTTATAATGATATTTAAGAGAGATAGAGTGACTCACCAACTTTTGTTAGTTTATAGGCTTATTTTGTCTCACTAAACTCTGTTTTTTTTTATGTTTTTATTTTTATTTTCATGATTTTCTATTTTCCGTTAGATTTTTTTTTTATTTTAATAATCTTTCATTATGTACGGATTTTGAAGATATATTTAATAATTTTATTGAAAGATTAATCATAATGTTTCATTTTATAAAATATTACGTGTATGTATTGAAGATATATTTGAGAATTTTATTGAAAAATGAATTCTGATGTGTTAATTTTTTTATGTTCTATATTTGTTATTCATCTTCTTACAATTGACATCATAATTTTGAATTACTCTTTTGAGATGGATTGCATTGAAGAAAATAGTTTGACAATTCAATTATAAGTGAAAAAATATAAAAGAAAAAGCATCACTTATTTTATTGAGTAATCTATATTTTATACAATGATGTGCATAAAATGATATCCTCTATCTTTCTTCAAATTAATAATATGATAAAATAAATATAAATTTGTAAAATAAATCAAAACAAAATATTTTTTAATGAATTATTTATTATTTATTAGGATAAAAATAAAAGTAATGTGAAATTAAATATAATATCATATTAATAAAATGACAATATATTCTAATAAAATAGTAAGTTTAGAATTTTGTTAATTAATAATTTTGTATAAATATAATGTCCGAAAAAGAGTAATATTGTATTATAAAAAAGTTATAAAAAAAAAAAAAGAAATCAAAGGTAGTGTGATGGGAAGAAAATCTTCTAAAAACTTTGCATTAATACAATGAATAAGTTAAAGAATATAAAAAGTGGTAGTTCAAAGGTTGGTGTAGTGGGAAAAACATTTTTTTTTAAATATGAAAATAATTGTTGATAAAAAGTGTAACTAAACTTTTTTATTAATTAAAATTTATCATTAATATAATGAATAAATGAATCTCACGTATAAAATAGAATTCTAAATTTTATGATTTTTTATAAATAAAGGTCCAGAGAATATGTCTATGTAAGTAGATATAATATAAATGTGTATAATTTAATCTCACATATTATTGATTAAAAAGTGTTTTTTTCTAATATATTGTCTTTCACATTAAAAAATTAATAGTTACAAACATAATCTAAAGGCTTACACAATAATTTTACATGTAAGTAAAAATTAAATATCGACTATCATAAAAAATATAATTTTATTTCTAATATATATGTGCGAAGCACGGGTCGGCGATCTAGTTGCATATATTTTCAATCATTTATGTTTCATATTCAAATTATTTTTAGTAATATTTTTTTATTTTTTAATCTCCAATAATTATGATTTTTATCAAATTAAATATTATAATTTTATTCTATTTTTGGTATATTTATCATTTTTTTATGATTAAATTTATTTTTTCATCTCAATAACTATATTTTTCATAAATTTGCATTGGCATATGTTTTTCCATATCAATTTTAGTACACACATTTGTACTAACAATATAAAATAAGATTAATTATATGCATTATCAGTGTAAAAAGTTGTAGACCATTAGTGTATCACAACCACTCATAAATATTACTTTATTAATAATTAAAATAAAAATCAAACCTAATTTAAAATCTAACTGTTATCATTCACTGACAGTGTAAAATTTTTTTACACTATCGGTGTATTCCAATTAAATTCATATAAAATATTATGTAAGAAATTGTTTATTTGATTTTTGTTAAGAATATTTGTATCTAGAAAGTCTCACCACTGAGCGACCTTGTTTGCTCGTTTTTATGGAAAATTATTATGCCACTGAAATTGTGCTCATTCTGTGCGAGAAACTAACTGAAATAGTTAAATATCATACAAAAGTAGGAGAACAACAACAACAACTTAGAGTTGTTGATGTTGCTCAACCAACTATCACCAAAGAAGTTATTATTTTGGCCATTAATTATAACGAGTTCCTTTAGTTCAAAGCAACCAATCAACCACCATCTTCTATCACCATTTCTCAGTCTGGTAATCTTATAGTCTTTGTCTCTACATCAGCCTCTCTTAGCCATTGGGTCCTTTACTTTGGTGTCTTTTATCATATGACTAGTAATAAATTTATTTTTATCTTGTCTTGTTCTAATTCTTCGCTTTTTGTCACTATTGCGGGTGATTCTAAAATCAAAGTTCAAGGTCTTAATCATGCACATCCACTTCCAAACTTATCTTTAGATTATGTGTTATGTATTCCTGGTTGTCCTTCCAATCTAGTATCGGTTAAAAAGTTCTCATACTCTTGACAGTTCAGTTGTGTTTATCGATAATTCTATTTTTGTCCAGGATCAATGTACATGATAAATCATTAGAACAATGAGTGAGTCTGGAGGATTATATCATTTATCACCACTGGTGACATATGCTTTTATTACTTCTTAAAGACATACACATCAATGTTTTAGTCACCCTGGCCTTAATAAAATGTGTCTTTTAGTTCCTAATTTTTCTAAGTTGTCGTTATTTAAGTGTTGGTCATGTAAATTAGACAAACATAGTTGTCACACCTATTGTCAACGAGTAAATAAAAGTGTTGTGCACCTTTTACTTTAGTTCATTCTGATATTTGGGGTCCTAGTCGTGTCAAGTCAACTTTAAGGTATTATTACTTTCTAACCTTCATCGGTGAATTTTCACAATGTACTTGGATATTTTTTATGGAAACTCATTCAGATGTCTTCCATATATTTCAAGAATTTTATGTTGAAATTAAAAACAAGTTTGACACTTCCATTAAAATTTTATGCACTAATAATGCTCGTGAATATATGTCATTCTAGTTTAAATCTTTTTTAACATCGTAGAGGATTGTTCATCAATCACCATGTGCTCACACACCATACCTAAATGGTGTCGCTTAACGGAAGAATCGTCATTTAGTTGAAATTGCACTGACTTTTTTACTTCACCATAATGTTCGTTCTCGTTGTTAAGGCGATGCTCTTCTTACAACTTATCGCCTTATCAGCTGAATGTATTCATCAGTCCTTCAAGATCAAGTTTCATACTCTATCTTGAACCCACAATAGGATCTCTACCCTCATTCCTCTTCGCGTCTTTGATTGCACATGTTTTGTTCATGTCCTCGGTCCAGGTGAAGACAAAAAATTTCCAAATATTTTAAATGTATTTTCTAGGCTACTCATGTATACAAAAAAGATATTGTTTTTTGTCCC